GGGTCTGCTGAGGGTCTGCTGAGGGTCTGCTGAGGGTCTGCTGAGGGCCTGCTGCTGAGGGTCTGCTGAGGGTCTGCTGAGGGCCTGCTGAGGGTCTCAACATGTACTTAAAGCTGTCAGAGCTGCAGATGACCGACGGCTGCTTTACCTGTTTCATCTCGTCTGCATCGTTCAGATCTGTTTTACATCTTTCAGCTCATATCTGGCCACAGTTTTTGTTTGTTTCAGCAGCTCATGTCTCAGAACGTTCGGCTCCTTCAGGACTTTCCTGCTCTGACTTCTGGTTTTTGTGCAGTTTTTACTTTTTTAAATATTTATCTTTGTCGGCCATGTTTTCCTCATTAAAAATGAACAGAGCTCTCTGCACCTCCTTCAAAGCCTTTAGCTGTTCAATCAGCTCATTTCAGTTTTTCTTCTGCTCGCATTTTTTCAGCTCTAGCTTCTTTTTAACCATTTTAGCTTTTTAAAGATTTATAGCGTTCCTCCTGCTCTTTTCAGCTTTCTTCTTCTAATTTCAGCATTTTAAGTTCCTTTCAGCTTCTTTCTGCTCGTTTCAGATTGGATCATTTCAGCTTTTTGTGCTGTTTTCAGCTACTTTCTTTTAGCTTTTTTGTGTTTCTTTTGGCCTTTTTTTAAATTCAGGCTTTTAACTATCCTTTTAGTATTTTTATTTGTTTGTTTACTTGTTTATTTTTTTGCTAATTCCAGCTTATTGCAGCTAACTGCTGGTTTTTCTTTTGCCTTCAGCTACATTTTTTGCTGATTTCAGCTTTTTCTTTCTAGCTTTCAGCTGATGGAAGCTTTAGCCTCTTCAACAACTTGTCAACAGAAAAGCCATTCCTCTAGTTTTGGTTGCAATAAAAAGAGTTTCTTGGAGATGATTGGTCGAGCTGTTTGAGTCAAATGTCTGAGAAGTTCCAGACCAGAAAACTAGAAAACCAGAGAACCGGAGAACCGGAGAACCGGAGAACTGGAGAACGTTCAGATGCTTCGTTAGAGCTCGTTGAGTCCAGCAGGAGGCAGGAAGTCCATCGAACTGGGCTAGAGACAGAACATTGGCTGACACGGATCAACCTGAAGTTCAGCCCGGAGCTGCAGAACCAGCAGAACTTCCAGAGAACCCCAGGAACATTCACCTCCTTCTGATGCAGGAGGGGTTCAGGTCAGTCATCATGTGAGTTGATCAGTTTTCAGTCCGATTCTCTGGAACTCATCATTGCTTCATCTGGAGCGGTTCTGGTGTCTGGGCATCAGGTTCCTGACCAGACCAGGAGCTGGATCCACCGGTCGTTCTCAGTAATGAGAATGTTGATCCGGACGGTCATGGTGAAAAAAGATGAGTCGAAAGGCAAAGTTCTGGATTTACGTTCCAACCCTCAGCTGTGGTCGTGAGGTTCGGATCAGGGCCTAAAGAACCAGATCCTGGATCCAAGCAGCTGAACTTTGTAGTGTGGGGGTGGGGGCTCAGTAGAGACAGGAGGAGGTCCGTCATCCGTGCTGCTCCTCCACGTCGAAATGAGTCAGCTGATGAGGAGGTTCATCTGATCAGGAAGTCCTGCTGTGAAGAGGCCCCAGGTCAAACCTAGAACTCTGGCGGGCTCAGACCTCTCTGGTCTGGGAACACCTTGGGGCGGGGGGCCAATGAGGAGCTGGAGAGTGTCTCTGGGCGGTGGGGGGGTCTGGGTGTCTGGGTCTTGCATCTGTGACCTGATCACAGATCAATAGTAGATCATTTAAAATCCTTAAATTATCCTGAGCAAAATGATAAAAACATTTTCTGACCACGTGTTTTTGGTTTTAAAAAATAACTTTTAATAAATAATAAAATAACTTCGTTTTTAAAAATCTGTGTCCGTCTGAACCAGAACTTATTCTGAATTTCATGACAAGCGGCTGAACCGAGCGTCCTGCATGGTTCCACTTCCACTAAATAAAAGCTGCGTTTTAAAAAATGGTTTCTATATTTGGTTGCTCCGCTGCTTCGTGCTTCGCCACAGGAAGTCTCTCTGAAACATCCGGGTGTTTCTAAACCAGCAGTTGAAGCAACAAAAAGCACAAGTTGGAAAGTTTCTTAAGTCATAAACACAACAGCTCAATTAGATTTAGCCAAATGATGTCATCCTTTCATGAATAATTTGTTTTAATTTGAGTTTTATGAAGTTTCATCAATTAATAGTCTCTGGAAAAGAGTTTGATGTTGGAAAATCTTCAGTTTGAAGAGTTTAAAATAATTTTGAAGAAGTTTGATGTTTGTGTTTGTAACAAAAATTCATTTTTATTTTTATGAAGCTTCATTTTTTTATTCAGTCATTAAAACATTTGACATTAAATGTCATTAAATGTCATTAAATTAAATTCATTTAAATGTCATTAAATGAACATGGTTTAAATGGAATTACGAAAAAAAAAGCTGAGATTTTATTTTAATAAATTAAATGCAGATGCTACCGAAATAAAACAACTTGTTGCTTTTTTACATTTTTAATTTCCATCAGGTAAAACAAGAGAAACCTTCCTCCTCATAATTCAGATTTATTTTTGTAAATATATATTTTATATTTCCTTGATACATAATTATTTATTTGTTTGTTTGTTTGTTTGTTTGTTTGCCTCTGAATGAGCTCAAACTGTTTTATTCTGGCTTCTGAATGACGTCACTTTATTTATCAGGTGAAGATCAGATTAAAATCATAAAAAGGTTTATTCTAAATTAAATTAAATAGAAAAAGCAACTGTTCTTTTTATCTTTTATTAGTTTGTTTTTACAGAAATGTTTATTAAAACAATAAATCTTGTGAAGTTTATTAAAATATTTATTCATGTTGCTGGAACTCCCTGATGCTCCTGAACCTGAAACCTGGTTACCGATAAAACTTTTCTGTATTGCGCAATGAGGAATGAGGGCGTGGTCTGAGCTCCGAGGGCGGGGCTAAACCCACGCGCTGGTCGAGAGGAGCATAAAAACCTGCACCGGGTGCTCACTCCTCAGATCCATCAGAATCACTGAGAGTCAGAAGCAGAACTCGAACAGAACCGACAGAACCACAGAGAACATGTACTCCCGGTCCGACAGCACCACCCTGACCCTGCAGCACGAGAGGTTCGCCTGCACCCGGACCACCGAGCCCGAGGTCTTCACCTTCGAGCGGATCCCGGTCCAGGCCACCGCCCTGCGCTCCTACGTCCCGGTCCGGCCCAAGAAGCGCTGCACCCGGGTCATGTACCCGGCCAAGGTCCGCATGCACCTGCCCCCCCCGGAGCGGAGCCAGGCCAAGCGCTGGCTGCTGGTCCTGATTCTGGTGGTCCTGTGGCAGATCTACACCGAGGACCCGGGCGCGGACGGCCCCGCTGGGGGCGCGGACGGCTCCGCCACGGACTACCAGGCTTTCCCCTTCCAGTCCGCGGAGAAGGAGGTCCGACATCTGGCAGAACTCACATCCGGGTCCGAACTACCGAGCAGCTGCGGCGAGACCTCCAGAGACCAGGTCCTGCCGAGTCCCGTCTGCCTGAAACCCGTCCAGGACCCGGACAGCAGCGGGTTCGAGCAGAGCGCTGGGAAGAGCGTGGTGGCCCTGCTGGTCTACCACAGGCTGGGGAAGGACAACTGAGCCCCCCAGGACTGTTCCGCCCGAGTCTGGGCTCTGGAGCTGAACACGAACTGGACCGGATCCTGATCCGGAGGTCCGGTTGATCCTGGACAGGAGCGCGCAGCCGGGGAGGAGGCTCCACTTGCCGTCCTCTCCCTGCCGGCTGACCCCCCACTGCTGGGGGGACCTGAGGTCTGGAGCAGGACCTGCAGGGACTCTGAAGAACTGAACCACAAAAAACTGAAACTTGAACAGACTCTGAAACCTGAAACTGACACTGCTGTTGTTGTTGTTTTTAATATTGTTGTTGTGAATGTGTTAATTAACTATTTATTTTATTTGCTATTTATTATTTTAATAATAAAAAGTTCAAAGAACAGTTCTGTTTCCCGACTTGTTTCTCTGAGTGTTTTAAAGATGCAGCAAAACGAAAACAGTTTTCTGAGCTCACACGTGCACAGGCCACAGGCACGCGCACTTCCACGACTGTTCGTGTCGCTGAGCTGCTTTCAGTCTCGTGGCAACATCAAAACATTTACTTAAAGGTTTTATTTCGGAGTTGATCTTTAACAAACTGATGTGAAACTGGTTCAGAACCTGATCCTTCAGGAACTGGTTTAAGAGAACCAGAACCGGTCTGACAGACACGTCTGTGTTCGTTGCAGCTCAGATCTTTCTGCAGATGTATCCATAAAAAGCTGAGAAGGATCATCTTCAGCTCCATGAAGTATATTTTTCATCTTCGTGGACAAACTTTCAGAAAAACATTTCATTAAACTTCAATTTTAAACACGTCACATCCAACTGACATGAATTCATCTTTAATTCATTAATTGAGAGTAAAAATAACTCCAGGTTCCTTTGCAGTACCATAGTCTGAGCCTGGTTCTGCTAAAGGTTTCTCCCTCATGACGGAGTTTTTCTTCCCACTGTCGCCTTCATGCTTGTTCAAGATGAGAGTTCAGTGATGGAGTTAAACTCAAAGCTGCTCCTCAGATAAATAGTTAAATTATTATTTATATTTATAAATGTCTCTGTTCAGTGCCCTGAGACGACTTCTGTTGTGACTTGGAGCTTTATAAATAAACTGAAATGACTTGAAATAATGAAAAATCATATCTCTGTTGATTCATGGGTCCTGATGACTTCATGAGATTCTTTATAAATAAAATTATTTCAATTAGGGGAAAAAATCAAACCAACATTCCTACTATCGCCTCTGGTTCTGTGTCAGATGAGACAACTTTAAAAATGTCACTAGAACCTGATTTGTGTTTGGACAGTTTTTGTCCAGTTGAGCTCTGAATTGTCAAAAACAATAACCTCGTCCAAACCATCCACATGCCTGCTAGATCCCAACCAGACTGTTTAAAGAGACATTTCCCTTAATTAATAACCACGTCTTGGATCTGCTTAATTTGTCTCTAATAAATGGTTACATACCACAACGTTTTAAGACTGCTGTAATTAAACCTTTACTTAAGAAACATAACCTTGACTCAGGAATCCTAATCAATTATAGACATATATCTAATTTAACTTTCATCTCAAAAATACTAGAGGAAATAGTTGCAGGTCAATTATGTGAACATCTACAAAGAAATAATCTGTTTGAAGGGTTTCAGTCAGGTTTTAGAGTTCACCACATAATCTGCACTGGTGAAAGTCACTAATGATGTTCTCATGGCCTCTGACAATGGACAGGTGTCTCCACTGGTCCTGTTAGACCTCAGTGCTGCATTTGATACAGTTGATCATAATATTTTACTACAGAGACATGATATTGGAATTACAGGAACAGCTCTAAAATGGTTTAAATCATATCTATCTGATAGATTCCAATTTTTAAATGTTAATAATAAATCTTCATCATACACCAAAGTTAGTCATGGAGTTCCACAAGGTTCAGTGCTTGGACCAATACTCTTTACCTTATATATGCTTCCATTAGGTAAAGTTATAAAACAGCATGGGATAAATTTTCATTGTTAAGTTATGATACTATGTTATATTTGTCCATTAAACCCAATGAATCCAATCAGCTACTTAGACTACAAGCATGTCTTAAAGACATAAAAACCTGGATGACCCTTAATTTTCTGCTTTTAAACTCAGACAAGACTGAGGTTTTAGTTCTTGGACCTGAGCACCTTAGGAATAAATTGTTCTGTCTTTCTCGCTCCTTGGATGACATTAATCTGCCCTTTAGATTTAATGTTAAAAACCTTGACATTGTTTTTGATCAGGACATGTCTTTTATCCCCCACATTAAAAATGTTACTAGAACCACCTTTTTCCCAGAGTCAGAAGAATGTTCCTCTTAGAGTCAGAAGAACCTTCTTCTCGGAGACAGAAGAACCTTCCTCTTAAGACAGAAAAACCTTCCTCTGAGAGACAGAATAACTTCCTCTCAGAGTCAGAAGGTTCTTCTCAGGTTCAGAAGAACCTTCCTCTCATAATCAGAAGGTTCCTCTCAGAGTCAGAAGTACCTTCCTCTCAGAGTCAGAAGGTTCCTCTCAGAGACAGAAGAACCTTTCTTTCAGAGTCAGAAGGATTCTCTCAGACTCAGAAGAACCTTCCTCTCAGAGTCAGAAGGTTCCTCTCAGAGTCAGAAGAACCTTCCTCTCAGAGTCAGAAGGTTCCTGTTAGACTCAGAAGAACCTTCCTCTCTGAGTAAGAAGAACCTTCCTCTCTGAGTAAGAAGAACCTTCCTCTCTGAGTCAGAAGAACCTTCCTCTCTGAGTAAGAAGAACCTTCCTCTCTGAGTCAGAAGAACCTTCCTCCCAGAGACAGAAGAACCTTCCTCTCAGAGACAGAAGAACCTTCCTTTCAGAATCAGAAGGTTCCCATCAGAGTCAGAAGGTTTATCTCAGAGTCAGAAGGTTCCTCTCAGAGTCAGAAGGTTCCTCTCAGAGTCAGAAGGTTCCTATCAGAGTCAGAAGAACCTTCTTCTCAGAGTCAAAAGAACCTTCCTCTCTGAGTCAGAAGAACCTTCCTCTCAGAATTAGAAGGTTCCTCTCAGAGTCAGAAGAACCTTCCTCTCAGAGTCACTGTATTTCTGCTGAGTCATGGTGTGCAGCAGCTCCAGGTGACATCACAGCTGTGAGTTGGACCAGAACCTGCAGATTCTGATTCATGTCCAAAGTGTTGCAGCAGAGCTGCTTCAAGGATCTGCCTCTGAGGGTGAGTCCATGTTGATGTTCCTGTTGCCATGGAGACACCCCTCTCACCCGTACAGGTAAGTCTGCAGGTATGAGCAGTGTTGGAGAAAGTTCTGGAGGTTCTTTAAGGAACTCTTTGACAGATTCATAAAACCACGGTGAGCCTCGTGAGTTCTCAGTTTCCTGTTTCTAGAATCTTAAAACAGAAAGCGTGGTGAACTCGTGACGTTCTTTTCCAGAACCTTCCTGTCGGCTTGAACTTCCTGTCCTTCGGAGTTCTGAAGACGGGTCAGCAGCAAACTGACAGAACCCGGTTCAGGGACCGTGAATGGTCTCGTGTCACTTGAGCCTTTGTCTCATGTTTCTGACCCTCTTGTCTCCTTGTCCACAACTGTTCCACTAGTCTTAGCTTGTAGCTGAAGTTCGGCTCTTTGTTTTGGTTTTTAGCCACAGTTTGCAGCTTCAGCTTCTGTTCTGCTTGTTTTAACTTTATCTGCTAGTTCATAACTTTACTCTGGTTCTGGTTTCAGAGCTCGCTCTGTGATTTCCTGTACGGTTCGATTTGTTCAGTTTCTTCTGACCCGCATGTGGACCGGGCCGCAGGTGAGTCAGAGCTGCGGGCGTCCTCTGGGTCGGGTTTTCTGTCAGAACCTGCTGGGTTTTAACAACAACAACACGGCTCTGATCCAATCAGCTCTCAGTCCGCAGAGGGATATGGACCAGAACCAGTTTATTTAAAGCTCAGCAGAACATCAACTTCCTGTTTTCACTGAAACCTGGACATGACTCTGGACTCCAGAGAAGTCAAACAGAACCACAACACGGAGAGGTCAAACAGAACCACAACACGGAGAGGTCAAACAGAACCAGGACACGGAGAGGTCAAACAGAA